CGGCAGAGCCCTTCGCTGGCCGCCGGCTGGCCTTGCCCCACGTTTCGAGGGTTGGCGGCGTAAGCCCGGTACCAGTTCAGGATTTGTCAAAGGGGAATAATTACTGTATCCTCTCCTATCTGTACTGCTGCTGTGTTTTCTCTTTAGTGCGTTAGTTTGCTTTTGGGATGGGAAGGAAGGTGGTTTGGTGTGGCCTGTTCTCACAATTCCTCGCGTCCCTTGGCCGTGTAATAGCCGGCGAGGGTGGGCTCTGGGGTGCTGGCTGAGCGACGGGGCCTGGGATGGCGGGCAGATGCGGAAACGAGCTTTCAGAAACTTTAAATAAGCAGCGAAAAAAGGGATAAAGTAATACCTTGGTAAAAAACTGGAACCTTTTGCACCCTTTTCAGTTTCATGTCCTCATCAGGCAAGCCGCATGCCTGTTGAAGACGCTCCTGTGTTTTCCTGCTTGTTGCGGTGCCAAAGCCAGTGTTGCACTGCCACCTCCTGATAGCCGGGCAGGGCAGCCTGCGCTGCCTGTCCGTACCGGCCAGGGCATCTTCTGGGAAGCACTTTGAACCATCCTTGAAAAATGATTCTCATTTGACTCGGGCAGGGTGAATAACACTTCTGACAGACAAGCAAAATGTTAGGTTTTTGCTTTAGCTATCCAGCTGCAGAGCAGGTGAATTTATGTGGCATCTCCACAGTTCTGCTTTGAGTGGGGAGCCCTCTTTATATTAATAATGCAGGTCTTCTCTATGGAGCAAATAGCACTTTAATCTGATTTCTGCATTTTGATCTATCTTTTTGGATGACACAGCAAGATCTTGAAAATCAGTAGCAGACCCGTGAAACAAATACTACCGTTTGTGTGTGCATGTAATGTAAAAAGGCTTCTTTACGAGTCTTTTTAAATTTAATTACCTTTTCTGAAGAATATCGTTCCTCTTCCTACAGAATTTCTCTGTAACAAAGTCTTAAATAAATATGATTTGCGCCAGGTATGACAACAAAACATCGCTGAATAAAATTGGTGTTTAATCCTGCATTGCTAGGAATACTGAATAAAAAATACTGAATTGGCTGCTAATGCATGAAATGGCCAAAAATGACATTAATTGCACACACTGCTTAATAAATGAGCCCTCAAAGTATATGGCGATTTGGCGGGTATGCCTTGTACGTCAGGTATCGCTGGGGGCTGTGGACGGGAGGGGTAGGGTTAGTATCAATGTCCTTTTCTTTACAAGTTGTGTTGTACTAGCTAGAAATTATTGTACTGGAGCAACTATTTTTTTCTTTAGAAATGAGGGGGATTTAAGTAGCTCAGCGTTTTTTTTTTTTAATTTCCTTAAGAAATTAA